TAACCTCCTGCCATCACTTCCCATGAACCTGTTTCACGTATCTGTGGAACCAAACTGTGGTGTGGCAACTGCTAGGCCCATGTGACTTCAGACTGGGATGTTCTGTGACTGTACACACATTCTAGACCTCAGACTCACACCACACAAGAAGGTAAAGTATCACCCAGTTCTTAGTGATGCTGACTACATGTTGAAATAATACTATGGACATGTTTAGATGTTAGGGTAAATAAGATATGCCACAAGGTGTACTTTACCTGTTCCTCTTAAATGTTTTAATGTGGTACTACAAAAATGTTAACACAAGTGGTAAATCTTATATATTTCCACGGGATGGTAAACTGCGCTAGCATTGTGCACAAGACATTAATCGGCACTTTTTTTTTTTTCAATATGGTTACTCCACCCCAAACTGTCCCGTCTCCTCGGTCACATATTACCATATTAGCCACGATGAGATTCCAGGAGTCTTACCAAAGGCATTTAATGAATACATGGAACACACTTCCATGCCCACCACCTTTTGCAAAAGGAGGCAGAGACAGAAAGGGGTGGAAGACCCCTCAGCTGTGGAGGGCATCAGGCACCCACTTCCCGTGGCGTCCACTTGCATTCTCTGCCACCACTTCACGTCTAAGTCTCTCCACACCGATTCCCTCCTCAGGGAGAATGAGTCTGAACAGGCACGTACCATTCTCTCAACAGGATCTGAGCAGCCGAAAATAAAGCACCTGTATTTAATTTGGAACTCGAGAATAGAATTACAACTTCTAAATGTTTGCACAGCAAATGGACAGAGGAACCGTGTCTCGAACCTTTGTGCGGGATTCCCCAGCTTCGCTGCCTGGATGGACACCACCCAGCAGTGGGGCACAGCCGCAGCCATCCCCTCTGGCTAGCTCGGACCGCCGATGGGCTTGTTCCTTTACCTTGGTTCTCTCTGTTCCAGAGGGATCCTACCCACGAGGAAAGGACTGTGAGGCTTCACCACCTCTGTCTGCCTCCCACATGCTGAACAAGGGCTCTTCTTCCCTGACACAGTGAGCACTGCCCTGGCTCACAGTCTTTAGCTCGCATTAAGAGCACCACAGCTGAGGAGAGGGAGGCAGCTGTGGTGTGAGCAACAGACACCCTGTCCCACCAGAGGTTGGTTCCCAGCACCCATGTCTGGCAGCCCCCAACTGTCCAGATTCGCTGCCTTCCTCTGGGCTCCCACGGACAATGCATTTGCATGTGCGCAGACAGGCATACACAGAATCGAGAATAAATCTGTTATTAAAGCTCGCTTTTTAACCAGCTAGTAGGGCGACATGCAAGTGTTCTAACCCCGCCCCTCACAGTGTTTCTGATCACTTCTTCCTCCAGTGTCTGCTACAGCTCCGGGCTGGGTGGGGCCCAGGGTCAGCAGGTCAGCTGTCTCATCCCCTCAGCCATGTGAACCGAGAGATCCAGAGCCTGGCCTGGGGTTTCAAGCTGATGTTTGTAAAGCCAAGGAGATGACAGACAAATGAGCAATGTCACAAGCAGAAAGCAGAGCTTAACAGGAAAACTTGGAATTTACAAGTCAGAGAAAAGCAGAGTCCCAGCCCCTCTTCCAGCCCACTTTCTATGAGCCCCAGCTTTCCTATAATTGTCCCTAGCTCCTCTCTGAACCACTTGCTTATTTTGGTGTTTTGGTCACGAGTCCCAGCACCTGTGATCACATACACTTCAGCCAAGGCAAAGATCTGTGAGCTCTTCTGGTGGCGGCCATACTGGTCCCTGAGGGCCTGGACCAAGAAGGTGCCATGCACTTTCTGAAACCACACGAAAACCTCTGCCCACCCCATGGCTTTCCGAAGAGGGAAGGATTTATTGCAGGTTGGGAGACGGAGAATAACAACGAGAGTGACCTGTAGGGCCCACCCATTTAGAAGACAAGCAGGTAAAACAAATACACAGTTATATACAATTATTAAAAAGAGTGGGGTGATGGAAAAAAAGGAAAAACTGCCAGCAGCCTTCCGGAAGGTTGGTCACAGGACATTCAAGGAGCACCATGCACCCCAGTCCCCGCTGGGTCTCAGCAGACCTGCCCTGGCTTTCTGCTGCTCTTGCTCTCAGAGGTGGGAGGAAGCCCCGGTGATGATGCAGCCGAGCTGATCCTGCTCTGCCAAGAGCTGCTGCAGATTCCACTGAAAAGCCACAGGCCAACTTCATGAGTGCTTCTTAATACACATGGGGAAAGTTCGGGGAAACTGAGGGCATGTAGGTCTGTGAGCCCTGTACCCCAGGCAGAGGGGAGCTGCTTTCGGGGGCGTCAGAGTGCATTCCCTAAGTCAGGAGTACCTCTCGGGTACTCATTTCTTCTATTCAGAAGCCAGGAGCCTCAGACCCCCTACGAAGAGGAAGGGGCCACGTTGCTTCTCACAGGACATTACAAAGATAACAACCGTAGCTGTGTCCCTTGTGAGAAGGGAGCACTTGGAGAATCCTTCAATAGGAGAATCTTCGCTCACCCAATGAATTTCTATAAAAAGAATGTAATTGCAGATAAAAGTTGCACATTCGCTGGGTAAAGCGGCCAACTGTCTACTTAACTAGAAACATGGATGATTTAAAATAAGTCGCTCATTTTAAATATGTCTCCACAACCGACATGGCTTGACATGGCCAGGAACTCGAGCGGGCAGAGCCCAAAGTACATGAGACCATGCTGAACACTGGCTTCCGATGCCCCAGTCCTATTCCTGGGCAGTGACAGAACATGCCAACAATCTGTCAAAGCAGCAGTCAGGAGAGACAGGCTCTTTCAGAAAGGAGCCGGCGGGGCCTGGTGGAAGAGCGCAGCGTGGGCCTGTCTACAGAGTTCAGTCTCGGTGGCGGCGCCAGGTCCCTGCCAGATCACAGCCAGAGGTGGCTGGGGGCCTAGAGGGCTTGGGAGACTCCGGTGGGGGAGGGGCCTCCTGGCCTGAGGAAGGGACAGGCGAGCTCTGCTCCCTCGCGGGTCTGCTGCTGTCTTGACAGTGCTTGCTGCAGAAAATCTGCCCCTCTTTATCTAGAGCCGTGTTCTGGGGAGAGAGCAGCAGAGATAACACATGACCCAGGCCTGGCTCCATAACACAGCAGGACCAGAAAGCAGGACTCGGCATGCACAGGACACAGAACAGAAGAGGAGAAACACACCAAGACTTAAGTCTAACTGAGCCCCACTCCATCCCAGCAGCTGCCCTTTGCCTCTGCCCTTATCACGACCTTGCTGGTAGCTGGGAGTGGTGGGGACACTGGCCTACAGGAGGTGGCCTGAAGGGTCCTTGCTGTGAGCTGCAGCTGAATTCTGTCTTGCCCACACCCATACCAAGGAGTGCCAAGGCGATAGCCAGTCTCTGCCAGCTGCTGTGGTACACTTATGACAAGAAGTTCTTGTCAGATATATGGCCCTTACATGTCAGAAATAAATAATATCCTTACAACCATCAAGCGTCTGTAATATGCCCAGGAATCCACTGGGGAGCCTGCACCTGCTGGCTCATCCACTAACCCTCTCAAGGGATCGGAGGTTCCAAGAAGAAAACACTTCCTTCTGAACCATCCTGGGGATACCTCACTAGAGACTGTGGGCCCTGGGAGCCAGCAACTGCCATGACACTGGGTTTACTAAAGGTGGAGAGACTTCAGGTGGTCTCGGGTACCATCCTCCACGATAAGATGAAAGGACCGGTAGGCATTTTGCAGTCCCCACAGGCAGGGGAATGAATGTACCATTGATTCTTCCAGCACAACACAGGTTGTTTTTTTTTTAAAAGGGGCAGGGGGGGTGGAGAACAAAGCAAGTGGCAAGGCTCCGTGTTCCTCACAGCTCCTGCCAACCTCAAGCTGAGCCATCACCACCTTCCGAGGACAGCATCAGTTAACTGAGTAAGTGGGTAAAGCCTGGCCTGAAACTTAACTCGTGAGCTGCTGGGACCAGGCCGGCCACTCTGCCCCACTAGCACCTACCAGACAGGCAGCGCTTAACTTTTGTCACACTTTCTCGTGGCTAGAAGAAAGTCACAACCCCTAGCTACTTCCCCTCTTCTGGCTATTTCCCCTCTTCTCTTCTGGCCGAAAAGAACATGAGCGTGCAGGCAGAGGGAAGCTGGCGGTGCAGTAAGTACATACCATGGCCTTGGACCTAGGCAGGGGAAGCAATGCAGCAGCGGGGAGGCAAGAAGGGAGAGAAGCAGGGACAGAAACTAGACTTACTTTCAACAGAAGCAATACGATTCAAACAGTCTTGTCTGTCTTAAATCGGAAGTAACCCCAAATCCCTACGTCACCCCAGTGTTTCTGAAAGCAAGCTTTGTGCCCCCTGGGGTGGAAAGAATGCTCTCTGACTTCTCTCCCTCTGCAAGACCACGAGAGGAGGTGTCTTGTCATTCCCTTCTCTGCCACAAGATGGCCCCTTCTGGTCTCTGAGGCTTTGTCCCTCACTTGGACAAAGAAGCCACCTCCCACTCTCCATCAGCGTGCTGAGGACTGCCAGCGAGAGAGAGCTGGAGTGTGACCCAGAGCCATGGGCCTCGCTGAGTCTCTCTCCAGTATGATCCTGTTCTTATCCTGGAGGCTGGCCGACACACACTGTCTTACTGATAAACACAGCTCTTGACAAAGCACAAAAACCTCACGAAGACACTCATCCCCTGCTTCACCTATGTAAACAGTAGCAGGGCACAGAATGGCTGAACCCCACTCTGAGCAGGAAAGCAGACTGACAAGCTGAGAAGGCTAACACAAAGCTCCCCAAAGGCGTGCTGGGCTGGGCTGGCCAGAAGGAGGCCAGTGGTTCAGAGGACCCATTCCAGCAGGAAGCTGAGGGTCAAAAGTCTGAGAAAAGCATGCAGCTGGAAGAAGGGCTGAGAATTAGGTGTGGCTCCCATGAGCACAGTGTGTTGAATACCAGGATCTGCTTCGGGATTTCCCATAGTCTCAACTGGGGAAAGAACGGAACTCTGTGAGGTGTCTCTCAAACTGTCAAATCAAACTGTCAAATGAAATGCAGACAAAGCATCAACTTTGGTTTCTTTCTCCTTTATTATCAGTCCCTACCTTCTCATATTTTTCACTGGAGCTTTGGGTACCTGCTTTGGGGAGAATGCTGGGGTGACACAAGACAAGAAGGCCCCCCTCTTTAAGTTATTCACAGAGGTCATTAACAATTCAGCCATAAAACACTGCTCTTCTGCTACTGAGAGACTGCATATTCAGTGATGGCAAATTAATGTCAGAGACAGGCATTCTCTGGTAGTTTAAATATAAAAATAATTTAACTGTCCCCAGGGATGCCTCAAAGTACAGTCATACTGTGATGGAGGGCCCAGATGTGATACACACGCCCTACCCTGCAACCACACCTAGCCCCAGGACCAGCCCTGACTTGGGGAAAGGCAAACAAGAACCCTTCAGCTACTTTTGGGAACAAGTCAAATTTGGCAGGCTGGCTTTTGAACCACTGAGAACAGAAACTTCCAGAAAAAAAAAATCCCAAAAATATCTCCAGTAGATTCTGAATGCAATGATGCCATCGGCAGCTCCTCAGTGCTCACAATCTGCAGAGAACCTGGTTTAGCTGGATGCCAAGTGGGTCCTGCATGTACATCACACACAACTGTTATAGTCACCTTCCTAAGGGTTGTTCTTTCACAGGAACACCCATTAAAACCTGAGGGTTTGACATCTGGCTAACTCCATTAGCAAGAGGGAAACTGCTCTCTTTAAGTGATGAGACAGTCTCTGCATTACTATCCAGAACACAGCTTACACAGCTTACACTTAGCCCTAGGGAGGACTGTCAATCATTCTAGAACCTCAACTGAGCTTCAGTGGTCATGAGGCAGGGCCCAGGCCTATGGTCATTGATTCTAGTGACTCACTGTACAAATTTTCCTATAGGGCTGCAAGGCTTACACATCTTAGAAGATTAGAAAACTAATTAACATATGATATGAAATTTTGATTCCAACAAATTCTCTTAAAAATTCTTTACCATATGCTGAAATTGTATATTTTGGGAGATCATTGGGGCCTACACACACACTAAGTACACACACACACACCAGGCACCACTAACTGCACCCCTAGCACAAATGCTGACTCTAAATGGCTTTCTTTTTCCATTTCCACAGAAGCTGCCTACAACACCATGCATGGCACAGATGCACACTGATTCTGCTCATGGGGTAGGTCTCAAAATACAATCCCTGGGAAGGGTCCTTTCATGAGTCTCTTCAACTCAGTAAAGCCAGAATTCTGTGATATCTCAGACTTTCTCAGGTTTTCAGTAAAACATTGCTACAGTGGAAAGAAAAACCATAACTCCACTCTTTCCGTGTTCAATATGAGACATCCCAGAAATCCGACGAGATGGCACAAAGTCCAGTTTGTAGGCTCGAGCTGTGCGTGGGAAGACAGAGCACACAATTCCCAGCAGGGCGCCTAGGAAGCTGCAAGGACAATGGGAGGGGCCTACCCAGTGAACTTAGCCTTCCTGGAGGAAAGGAACGGCATTAGGAGGTGCTTAACCACCTGCAGAGTGGACGTCTTTAAGGGGTACATGCAGTGTGTGGCTTCCTGGACTCCCACATTTCCCTGACGTTCCTAGACTGCATGGAGCAGTGAGAACAAGTCCATTTCCCTGTGGTGTGGGAAGAGGGAGAACCTTTCCCGGGTGGCTGCTCTAGGCGGCCTGGGAGGCGGCACCAGCTTCTCGGGAGAGGGTGACTCTGGTGTCCATGCGCAGGCCCTGCTGTCTGCTGTGAGCGGGCAGGAGGACAGCATGGCTGCTGTTGCAGATGCCCTGGCTGAGCAGCAGGTGGGAGATGGCCAGAGCGACTCCCAGCCCCACTTCACAACAGCTCAAGCCTGGGCAGCCAGAGCTGCAAATTAATGACCTCACTTGTGTTTTATTTTTCTGTCCTATATTTTCTTATGGTTTCCCTTACTGTTACTTTTCATTTTCTGTGCTTAAATACTTAGATATGTGGCCTTAAGTATTTTGGAAGAAGTACAAAAATTGGGTCATTGTTACTTTTGTTATATAAAATTTTAACCATAAAAAATTAGGTTTTTTTTTTAAAAAAAGTATTCTTTTATGCCTTTAAACATACACCAACTATTTTTTTAACCAAACATTGTCTTTAAAAAGTGAAAATTTGTTAGCTTGGCTGTTTTTTGTTTTTTGTTTTTTTCCAAGTCCGGAAGAAATCACATGTCAAACAATCATAAGCCTGGAGGAAACAGGGCCTTACTGCCTTGCAGGGTGCATCCTGCCAGGGCTGGCTGGTGATTTCTCCCTAGATGTAACAGCAGGTATGAGGGGGAGGCAATGCCCTGGAAGCCCCATGTCCAGGAGCTCCCTTGCACCACCTACCACTGTGGCTTCCCTGTCACCTACCAGCCTCTACCCTGTCATGCAGAGTCCCAAGGAGTACCTGAAAGCACCCTTCGCATGCCAGTCCATCCTCCCATGAAAACAGGAACATGGAAGACACCAGCTTCCATGAGCAGAACCCTGACTATCTAGCTCAGACGACAACTCCAGCTGAGCAGCCAGGCCAGATGCCCCCAACTCCCCAGGCAGAGCTCAGCATCCCACTTACCATGATAACGGAGACCCCCGTGGTGGTGCTGTTCTGTTTGGGGAGCGCATTATTAAAGTGCTGTTTTAGTTTACCTGTAACCTCAGCTTGCATATTATTCTCCTGGGATGCGTCATCCTACAGAGGGGGAGAAACCCAAATACAGGTGACTCTGGATCCTTAACACTCCAACTACTCTTCAACAGCTACCACCCACCCCCACCATCGACCTAAGGCTGTCTTCCTGAACAGGCTCCTCTTAGTAAGAACAGGAGTTCAGTTCTTTCTAATGTAATTGTTGCCCCTGTACAGAGCTGTGGAAGCAAAGGAGACCCTGGACTCCATCCTCACTGTGGCAGAGACAGTCCTTAAAGAACATCATGACCAACCCCATCACTTACAGAGTAAACAGGTCCAGCAAGGGGCAGGCTACCAGGTTACTCCCTGAGCAGATGGGGGGGGGGGGCTCTGGTACCAGTTACCTTCTCCCATGCTGCTTAATCATTAAAACAGACATTTTTATCTGCTATAGAATTTGAATGCTCATCTATGTCCGTGTAAAACACATGGCAAGGAAGCATGATGAGCATACAACATAAATGCATTCATTCCCTGGAATGTGGGTACTTACAGACACCCAGGGGTGGCTCAGAATCTCTCCTGCGGTACAGCGAGCGTCAACATTTACCTGAAGCATCTGACTAATTAATTCCTAGAAAGGGGAGGAAGGGGAGGAAGGGGAAGGGGAAGAAGACCACAGAGGAGAAAGAGGGTAATTCCAGCGTAAATACAGAATCAAAAGCTAACATAGCAGCTCAGCCACTGGAGCACGGAGCCAACTCCCCACACTTTGACTGACATGAGCCATGGCAGAGACCTACTGCCGATGTCGGCACAGAACACGAGAAGTCTCCCTTGAATCTGCAGGAACCAAGATTGGCTCTCTTAAGACTTCCGGTCTTTATCTTCACTCCGCAGTAGAATACTGCAATATTTTCCCTTTCATCACTTAAGTTATTAATTCATTCTCACATTCTGATGAGTGCCCAACATACAGTCCTTTTTAAAAAGGCGTGAATGTTTATAGAGATTAGAAGATCAATCTAGTCAGGGACTTCAGAGACTGTATATACTGTAGATCAAACTTACAAAAAGACCACACATTAAAAGTCAAGTTTCTGGAGCCCCGAGCTGGGGCTGCTCAGCCCCACGTGCAAGGCCCTGCAGTGTACACAGGAAGAGCCCTATACAGTACCTTGGCAGAATCTGTAATGTTGTCCCAGTAGGGGGCTGGAAACTCCAGTTTCCCAGCCAAGATCTGGTCGAAGAGATCTTCCTGGAGGTTGTTCTCACTAGTGAAAAAGAAGCAGAAGAAAGAATAGGGTCACCAAGAGTCTGGGCAACAGGAAGAAGTGGAGGCACTTGGCTTGGGTGTTTCATTGCTCAGCTGTGCATTGTAGCTGCATGGCGACAACAGACTCTCCTTCTAGACAACGAGCCAAAGGGCCCTTCCTAGGCCTGGGAACCAGAGACACAGAAAATGACGCAAGCCGAGTTTCAGTTTAAAAAGATGGAAAAGTTCCAGCAGCGGATGGTGCAAATGGCTGTGTACTTAATGCCCCACAAAGTGTGCGTAGAAATGGTTAAAATGAAAGCCAGGTGCTGGGACATGTCCCTGCAGTACCAGATACATGGAGAGCTGAAGCAATGTTATCACTTGAGCCCAGAGGTTCAAGACCAACCAAAGTAACATAGCTAGAGCCTATCTCTAGAAGAAAAACTAGTGTGTGTGTGTGTGTGTGTGTGTGTGCATGAGTGTGCGTGCGCGTGTGCGTGTGTGTAAATACACTGTATATCTCCTCTATACACATAGGATATATATATGTATATAAAGGAGATCTCTATACATATACATACTTACATGCATACATACGTCTATATTACAATAAAAAACAGAAATCACAAATAATGGAAACACTTGGGAAAGGACAGCAGTTTTGCCATTGCTCATGCCTCTAACAGTAAAACAGCAGCCTCTACTAAAGCTTTCTTTTTCCACTTTTTCAATAAAAGACCAAGATAATTGAAAATCATATGGAGTTCAGAATCTAGTGGCGTCTTTCAACCCGCGCTGCGTGGTCCTTCCACGAACACACACGGTGTCTAATGAAAGCATGGCATTCAGCAGTTGATGGCAGGTGCCCGTGAGAACACCGGAGGGAAAGATTCTGGATGTGGGGTGTTCCCACATGCGGTGAGGGCAGGACTAGAAACAGGAAGCATGACAAGCTTTCTTGGTTCACCACAGGCCCCAACAGAAAACTTAGAATAGGCTGTTAGAATTAAAATTAAAATTCAGGAGGACAAATTAGGAATTACCTGGAAAAAGTGCAAATTTCTTAGAATTTCTCTGTCATGCTTTTAGGGTTTGGGTTTCCACCTTCTCGAAGGGCACAGAGCATGGAGTCCTTAGAAGCAGATCCCTTAGGGTGGTACCTAGAACCATAACTAGGTCTGTCTCATGACACAACGGCCTGTTATATTCAAGGGAAGCACTTGTGAGACACCTGCTGGTTCACACTGAAGGCCAAAGGTACACTGAGAAGCCAGGTCCCTGCGAGACAACCAGCAAGGCAAGAGGTCCTCATTGCTCGCCTGGGAAGCAAGTGCACACACACTTCTCTGAGGAAGCACAATGGTCTCTCTCCATTACCCTGCTGCAATCAGTTCATTGCTCCATAAAATGAGTGAAAAACACACTGAAGAACATAGTGGGATTTTTATAGTTACAGAGCACACCAGACGGTGTTAGAAGAAGACATACTTTTAAAACCTACTCTCAGAACTGTTCCTATTACTCTATTCACCTTCCCTGGTTTTTCCTGGAGTCACAGGTAGCTTATGTTGACTTGATCATTTAGCCAATACAGAGCTAAAAGCTGGAGTCCATCTGCAACATCCATGTACAGCGCCCAAGGACTCAAGCAATACAGTACAACTCAGCACAAAGGGCCGCAGAGCACTAAACAGTTAGAATCTGGCCTGAGGAACAATGCTATCAACCACCAGAGCTATGTGCCCAGTAGAGGAGCAGCCCCAGCAGACTGTCCATGCCTGGTAGTCAGGTAGACAGCTGCCCTGTCTGAGTCCACACGAGGTTCATCGCTACATTTGCACTGCAAGGCTGGTGAAGCTGCTTTGGGCTGCTTTTCTATTCTAAGACACTGTATCCCTTAGATGAAGGGGCTGCGAGTGTAAAACAGTCGATTAAGAAGACAGTCCCTGTTTCGGTGACAGACGACGAAAGGTTCAGAAAGGACACCGTGATAATGTTGGTAAGTTATTTCACAAGCAGCACTCGATATAAAGAATGACAGAGAGAACCAGAGGTGAGGTGAAGGCTAAGAGAGAACGTTCAAGAATCTGGGAACAACTTTACAGATGCTTTCGTCAGCAGCTATAGCATATTCTTTCTCAGGAAACTTTGGGATGTCTCTGAAAACCAGTCTTTGTGAAGATAAGGCTGATTTTGGCATGGGAGGGGGGGCAGGATGATTGAGCTCAAGAACTAAGAACAACAACAACAACAAATCAAACCCAAAGGCTTTGAAAGAAAAAAGATGCTGCCATTAGAGACACTGAAAAGAGTGAGTTCCAGGTAACAATCCTTTCAAATGCTTCCAGCTAAAGGCACACTTTGTATCAGAAAAGAAAGCACTCTGAAGTGTTTATTTAAAGGACTTTAATACAGATACATATGTATATAGTTATTTTTATTTTTATTTCTTATTTTTTTGAGACAGTGTCTCATATAGCCCAGCATGGTTTTAAACTTGCTACATAGTCAAGGATGGCTTTGAGTTTCCTATCTTTCTTGATTCCATGACCTGTGTGCTGGGATTATAGGCATGCACTGTTGTCCTGGGTTTTATGTAGTGCTGGGGACTGTACCAAGGCCTTTGTGTGTTACAAAGCCCTCTACCAACCAAGTGAACTCCCTCCCCAGCCCTAGATACACAAGTTTATGCCATCTATGCTAGATAATAATCATTTTAATGGCTACATACTTAATTTTCCATATTTTTTTATATAACAGTAGGTTGTAAAATCTGCCTTACATGGCTGTGCTTTGAAGATGCTTCTAGAAGTGTCTGATGTCACAGATCTCTCACCAGCAGAGAGGAAAACCATTTTCTTGAAACATAAAAGTGAGATACCTAGGGGTGTTTTGACACTAGGCGGCCCCTTCAGAATGCAGTGGGCTGTCCTAATGAGCCCAACTCACCTCTCTGGCTCACAAATCTGCTGCTGCCCTCCAGCGACAGTGACATCCAACTTGTACCCACTTCCACAATAAAAATACATCTGGCTGCATCAGAAACTATAAACACTAGAGGGAGTTGTGAGCACATATTCTCTAATTCTGATCCCCCAAATCCCTCTTCTTTGATATCAACTTGAATAAAAATATCATGAAGAGGAACTCCATGTTAACTGGTCCAGATATCACATGTTAGCAAAAACACACCATCCTTCTACATTTGACTAGCTCCCCTCATTTCTGCCTTACACAACGGAGCCCTTTAGTTAATTTCTTCACATTTATTTTATGCTTAACCATCACTGAATAAGTCAAACAAATACACCCAATCATTTGGTTTGGTCATTATTCTTGTGCTCCATGTCTCTATATCAGAAGCTCTTCCAAAGTAAACTAACATTTCTGTGTTGTCTGCTCACAGCAATTATCAATTAAACCACTGTTGAATTCAAACTGAAGATGTGAGAATTAAAGAAAAAATAATCTAAACCTTCTTTTTCCAGGAAGTTTTCTTGACAAATATTAGGAGAGATAAGATAAACTATTTTCATTTGTTGACCCAATACAACACTTAAACACTATGGCATAGGCCTCAAAACTCCTAATGGGGAAACCTAATCCTTACTTAGATGGCATTGGAGGTAGCTTTGGGGACACAGCCAGAGTAGTGAGGGCAGAAGCCTTCATGAAAACAACTGTAGTGTTCC